CACGATCGATTGAAAGCTGTTGCAACCAGCGTCCAGTTTTGACTTTGACGTTTGTCATTATTTCCAATACCCCAATATTTGCAGAGCAGTATCAGCAGTCACAACTGGACTATTTAAACGGATGCCGAAAGGTTTTGGTCAGCTCACGACCAGTTTTGTCATGGTCGGGGCTCATCAGATAGGCGCACTTCCTGAGTTCTCGTCAACCTTATGTAGTTGTGCCTCATTGGCGAGGTTCACCCGGATTCATTTGTTTCTCTTGTCTTAGGAGCAGTGGTCAAAATCTGTGTAATTTCGGTTCAAGTAGAATATGAGGTTGACGGGAACTCGTTGACTGCGACCACCTGCTGAGCCCAAAGACGGGCGAAACCGGTCATAGTAGTACTACGTATTTTGTTTCGTGGAGTTCACATAGTTTTACTCATCTGCGTGTTCTCTGCAAGCAGTGGAGTTTTTATCAAGAGGATTCGAAATGTCCGAAATTCAGATATGCTGATACTCGCCAACACCGCACGTACGTAAATTTTTCTAATCTCCAGCCCAGTATCCGCTCGACCTTCAGTGTGCCTCACTGATAATCTTCCCTACTCTTTAGCATAGTTGTCACTTTTCCTCGGGAATGCTGAATTTTGTTGGTGTGCGTTGGGAGAAATCTTGTGTGAACACACATTCGTGTTCCTTTGATAGCATTCTTAGTCATTGGTCCAAACCTCTGTGGTGAATCTTCAGTTCGCTAGACTATTTTCCTAGCTGAGATCCTGTTATCAATCTCTCTTTAGGTCCCAGAGGTAGCTCAGCATACAGTTCATTTAATGGAGCTATGCAAAGCCGGATACGAGGCCGAAACCCTCATCCAGTCCGTCCACACCGTCTGCTCCTAAAGAACACGCACTGTGTTGTGTGAAGTTTCAAAAATAAAACGAATTGCAACTGATCCATATTGTGTTCTGCCACCACTACAAGACATGGGTTCGGTGTAAGCGGAAAGAATTGAGGTAAAACTAGCCGGATACTCAGGTCTTGTAGACTCATCAAGACGCTTTCACGATATATTCACAGAGCGAGTAATAATTCGCCGGGCGATTAACGCAATAGGGACAGTTTTCGGGTCGTCTGCCGACTCAACCACAGTGCTCAAATTCCAATATTTCCTCTTGTTCACTCTACCCGGACTAGAGACGCATAGTCAAACTTATCCCTATCGGCTTTGAATAAGTTCTCATACAGCCAGTCCCAACTTAATCAGATGCCTAGGTGTAGTCATCGGGACGGTGTCAGTTTGTTTAACAATCAGACTCGTTATTTGGTTTCGTCTGTTTTGGTAATCTTTTTCCTACCAAACTGGCAACGTGATATTGTATTGCTACCCATAAGGTCGCTGAGCACTCTTCAACCAAATACCTACCGGTCTCTCCTTTTGGGGTTCCCATAGATAGGCGCACAATTTTGTTCAATTAAAACAAGATTGATGGGAAATTGCAGACGGATAAATCAAAGATGAATCAACACCACCGAGTAGATGCGGTGTGGCAGTTGATTAACACGTTCTACGGATGTCTTTCTTGAGACCAACGAAAAAATCATTCCGTACTGAACAATCCCTCTGCGGTTGACCCGACATGACAACTCACACACTACGATGGACGTTTCTGTGTGAAATGTGGACTACGGTATTCAAAACGTCCTACACGGCACTGAACTACATGCTGTTTGCAGCTGGTAAACATTCCCTCTAGTAGAGGCAAACAACTCTATAACAGCAGCACGAAATGCGTCATCATTTGTTAGTTCATTAGTGGTTCTAGTGATCATAGGACACTAACGATAAGAAAGCCAAAGGCAGTGGATTATTGTACCGGTAACCTTTCCTGTTTTGATTCTACGTGATTAGTAACGGACAAACATCCCAGAGGAAGAATCGGACGACTGATTTCTCAGAACTTCCGCCTAGGGTCTGCAACGACAACCACGCTATTAATCCTTCACGAACTCGAGGAAGTCGGAAAATCTACCCAGGTACATTCGAATTTTTAGGAATCACGTGTGAGAACACTCTATGGATTGGCCGATCCCGTTAGTTCCCATTGCCAGAAAATTAACACATACATCTACAGATTTCTCACATCGGCAATCTGTTGAGTACAGTACCGATCAAGTCAGTCCTCGTTCGCCGTGGGCACGGAATCCAAACAAATCGTGATCTAACTTGATATCCATAATCACTGGTTGTTGGTCTATTGACCGAGCGTGGCAGTTGGACCGCAAGCATTTCATCTTCAGTGCACAACTCAATGGAAACTGTGCAAACGCCTTATCAATTCAAGACGACCGGAGATCGGAACGATTAAATGGAACTCAGCTTCGCAGTCGGTATGATACACCCGAATAGCTGCCGGAAAGACCAGCCGGTAGCGCGAACCTAACGGGGGTACATGGAAATCGGTGATATACAAGCGATATTTAAAAAGAGAAAGTGAGTAAAGCTGGATAATACTGATGGCCGAATGTGAATAGTATGTGGTTTTTGTGTAACTCCGCTTGATCGAATGGATGGTGGTTTATTTCGGAATTTGTGAAACTGCATTATAGCATTCATTTACAACTGCGTGACAGTCGGTGAATATCCAGGAAAGTTCGGCAGGACGCGTTCAAGAAGAAAACGGATATTCTAATTTCTAATATCAAGGTGCATGACAGAGTTTTACTTTCCTGTCCCATTGTCTGTAACCGTGGCGCTTGGTCCTGTGTCAGCGAGAGCCAATCATGTTGATGACCAGCCAAAAGGTCAAGTGCTGAAACCACTAGCCGGGCCGTCACAGGGTCCGTTAGAAAATACCTAGGATTTCGTCAGTTGCACACAGGTGATTATTCGCAGTATGGATGAAACTGCTTGGCAATGATTCTCGGCTGTTGGGCATAAACAACCCTCAATTCCAAGAAGAAATCTCCAACAAAGTTTCCAAACATTTCTCATAATATCAGCCAATATTGGACGGCATCTACCCTAGTATAATTGTGGGACTTGTCAGCAGGTTAAAAACCCCATCTGATGAGGATCCGAAAGTGATCAGTGTCTAACACTGTATACAGAAAGTACACAACCGTCGATAGCAATCACCTCCATAATGCAAAGGTCCAGTGCTACTATATGTCACTTTTAGAGTGGACTTCGCTTCCACAAGTGTGCTAGATGTTTGACAAGCTAGCCACAAGCTCTGCATGTGGTAAAAGAAATGGCTGTGAGCCGGTTACACAACGCCGCCATTTAAATTGCGTCGAACCAACCGGTTTTGAATTGTGATGCAATGCTCTTGAAACTGACTGAATGCCGCCTCATAACAAGCGACTTCCTCCGACTTTGGCTATCCACGTGCCCTTGGTTGATGCTGGGTTATTGCATGCAGATACTGCAGATTCACACACACACACACCAAGAAGATATTGCCCAGTGAGTGGTTTCGCCAAGCCGTTGAGCTTGTAGTGGCATGGTCACCCAAAAATACAATTTACTTTACCAGGAGTGTGTGGCAAAGAGATAAAATAATAACGCTAGATAGAGTATACATTAATAAAATGTTCAGATAGAACTGACTCACCAATAATTGTTCTCTTTAAAATAGTTCGTTGTTGGCCGTGGTCAACGAGTGAACATTAATCCAATGATGGCTGTCCAGGGTCCTCTTCTGAACTGTTCTCACACATAATAGATTCCGAAGATAGTCTGAAGTGTTTTGTTACCACAGTTGGTACATGAGACTCGTGAGTGATGAATCGCCGGTAATAGTTGATATTGATACCTATGAAACGACGAAGTTGGGTGAGAGTGGTGGGTATGGGGAAAGACTCCAGGGCTAAATACGATCGGGTAATGGTGAAACACCAGTTGGGTCAATGTGGTGGCCAAGAAAATCTAAATTAGTAACACAAAATAAGCATTTATCAATGTTTAAACGTATATTGTATGTGGAAAGACGCTCAAATACTGCCCTGAGATGAGTGGCATGCCCAGTTGGCGAGGTGCTAGTGATTAAAACATCGTTAAGATAGTCATACACAAAAGGTAAGCCAAGTAAAACTTCGTCCATGCAACGTTGAAACGTCTGAGCTGCATTTCGAAGACCAAAGGCCATACGCTTGAATTCGAAAATGCCAAACGGTGTTGTGATGGCTGTTTTAGGAATGTAATCCGAGACTACGGGTATGTGGTAGTAAGCAGGTAAGAGATCAAGTTTGGATAAGATATTTGTGTGGCATAAGGTGCTTGCAAAATCGTGTATGTGTGAGATGGGATACCTGTCTGGGATAGTAGCGTTGTTGAGAGAACGGTAATCTCCACAAGGTTTCCAATCACCTTTAGATTTATTGGGTACCATATGTAGGGGTGATGACCAATGACTCGATGAAGTGCGGATGATGCCGAGTTCGAGCATGTGTTCGAACTCGTGTTTTGCGATTTGTAGCCTATCCGGATGAAGTCGGCGGGGGTTGGTATGGACAGGTGGACCTCTCGTCTGGATATGGTGAACGACGGAATGAGTGACCGATTGAGTGTACTGACATTGATGAGCAAGGGTTATAAAACCCCTAAGTATGTCGGCAAAATGTGAATCAGGCCTGATAACTCGGATACCTGTGGATATAGTTAGGGCACTAATTCCATTGACTGAGTGGGAAGTTAGCATGTCCATTTGGGGCACTAATTCCATTGACTGAGAGTGAAGTGAGCATGTCCAAGAGGCGTTTGTGTCGCACATCGACAGAGAGGTTGTAGTGGGTCAGGAAGTCCGCACCGATGACGGGTGTTTGGACGTCGGCCAAAAGGAATATCCACTTGAACGCACGCCGCAATCCGAGGTCAAGGGTGAGGAAACGTTTGCCGTATATAGCGATGCGGGTACCGTTAGCTGCTTGTAGCGAATAAGAAGCAGAATCAGGAAGTGGATTCTTATGTGGTAGCACACTAACTTCAGTTCCCGTATCTACGAGGAAACGTAGACCACTTGAACGATCGGTGATGTGGAATAGGCAACTAGTGCGAGGAGGGCCACAGACAGTCGTCACCGTTACTGACTGGCCGGAGTGTTTAAAGGGGTGTTGGAACGCGGCTTGAAGGAACAAGGTGGTTGACATTTGCGTGCTTTTGGGCCATTAGATTGGTGATACCAGCACCAAGAAGGACGGACATGAGACAGTGATCGTGATCCTGAACGTGGTCAATGCTTATTGATCTCTAGCCGTTGTAAGCGGTCGGTCAAAGTATCAAACGTAGCTTACAGTTGCGATATGGAAGCAAGGATAAGATCGGAATCTGGAGAAGTAGTGGGTGCAGGGCGGGATACGGAGTTTGCAGGGTTATTGATGTAAGTTTCGTGGATCTTATCCGCCATTTGGGCTAACTGCTCCAATCTGTGGTCACCAAGGAAAGCGCTGATGACGCGGGACATGGGGGGTGGGAGTTTGTCGAGTCATAGTTGGGCCATGATTTCCACCGCTAGCTTACGACCGTTGAGGAGACTGCGCCAGTGGCGAAGCAGTTGTGATGGCGATCTGTCCCAAGTTCGACAGTGGTGAATAAATCTCTTAGAAATTTGTCTTTGGATTTCCCTGTCCAACTTACGACGGCCGCTCGAAGGGCGTCATACGGATTTTCCCCGGGAATATCTTCCAACAGATCTTCCACTTCTGTTGCTACATCACAAGGAAGATGCTGGACAACATACGAAAATCGGGTAGCTTTGGAAGTGATACGTCGGGTATTAAAAACGGCCTCCACCTGATGAAACCATACCCTAGGATTGCGTGGATTGTAGTCCAGTAGACGTATGCTAATTTCGTTCTCGACTAAATCCGCTGAATCAAAGTGTGCCTCCATAATGACCGG